TCCCGATCAAAAACCCGATCGGGTTTTTTGATCGGGACTTAATCGGGGTTTTTGATGCGTAGCGCGCGTCTGTGTTGTTCTAGTTTTATAAAATTTGTATGAGATTTTTTTATTTTATCAGATTATTTATCAGCATTCTCGTTATCCCATTTTTTTCTCATATTATTTGCAACATGAAACATTGTTTAAGATCATAAATAAGCGTTGCTTTCATATTTATTCTTATTTTGTGCCATGTTCGCGTCACGCGCGACATTCCTTCCGGATGTCCATCTCAAAGGACAATTACTTACTAAAATAAAATATTTCTAAAAAATATATTCGCAGAACTACTTCTAAGAAAGAAAAATTTGTATTAAAAAATAATTTAATTTTAAAAGATCTTTAAATTGTTCCACACTCAGATTAAAGGAAAGATAAAAAATCTAAAATAGTCTATATTTATCACATGAAGCATTATTTCAAATGCACATTTCCATGATATAATCCCTGCTGATAATTTCCAACAAATCACTGAGAAATGGCCGTATATGGCGCAGTGGCCATAAAGCGGCAGACGGTATCTTTCTAAAGGAAGCACTGGCGTGACGACGTATTCTTATCTCCATTCGGTAGGAATATTCACTTTCGAAATGACATCATAAATTAAACCGGGCTTCGACAAGCCTTTATTCAATGAACCACGTGTTAACCAGCATGAAAAGACTTGTCTTTCTCTCTATCTCTCTTTTGGCCATCAACACTCTTATCGACCCGTGCGAGAAGCCAGCGAATAGAACCGGATAAGACAAGGAAAAGGAGAGAATGAAGAGGAGATCGGATGTCTAATTCAAAGAGAACCTCTATTCTCGCGAAACGCGATACCGCCCGTCTATAGATATTCGCGGCAAGTACTTCAACTAGAAGCTCATTTTGCTCGCAATCTGGAATGGGAAATAGGATTATGATCGCACTCCCGTTTGTCTTTTCGTTCTCCTGCGTCCCGAGAATTGTAATAATATATTGTATAATACTTATGCGTGTTAACCATTTATCTGTCATTTCGCGAGCTATTTAAAAATGATATAGATATATTTATGGTATTTGAATCAATTTGAACAGCATATATTAGAAATGAAAAAAGAAATATAGAAAGTATGGAAACAAATATGAAACAACAGAATTGCAATTTCAATATTATGACGGAGTTCACAAAGGTTGGAAATTGGAAATCATACTGCACTTCTTTTTCCAACTCTCAATTATATTCTTGACTGAAGTCCGTGAATTCATAATTTCACAATTTAATAGAAAAGATTCAACTTTAAATAAAAGGGTGCACTTATACGGAAAGCTAACAGCTCGATTATATTTATATTAAAGAAATTTTTAATTTTGCCCTTGCAATGCACAAGGGACTTTGTGCAATGGACGTTCGCTTAGAAATAAATAAGGGATACGTTATTGTTCGTGCAAGCGAAAAATAGAAGAAAGAATTACGGGAAAAATGAACACGACGCACGGGAGAGCGGTGGACAAAGAATAGGGATCACGAGGTTAATTTGAGAAATTTCGTAGGGAATGCCCAAGCCAGTATGCCGTTTTATTAGTATCCTGGGACGCTAAATAAGGTTACCACTACCATCTCGTGTTCAGTCCTTTTCAAGCTGATACTTTTTGCTACCGCAAACATTCTAATTTTGCTGACGTTAAAATTCTATCGCAAAAATATAATACTTGATAAGGCTATCTTAATTTTTACTGAAGATTTGTTTACAAAATTAAATGTGTTACTAATATTAAACATTAAAAATGTTATGGTAATTAAATTTTCATTAAAATTTTTGCACATTTGTTTAAATTTAAACACATAATAAGATATTTTTATTTGATTACACAATAAAAAATTAGTTTTTGTGAAAAAATTTGCGTGAACAAATTTTTGTGAACAAATTTCAGTTTTAATAATTTATGATTCTAACGCTATTCATGTCTTGATATTTCAACCAAAGCAAATTTTTACTTAAACAAAAATCTAAATTATTCGAAAAGTATATGAATCAAACGAAAAATATTTTGCAGTGTCCTATATTTATTTTTACTAATTTAAAATTATCACTTATCTATTCATAAAACAAAGCATTGAAAGCAGATAGTTTAATTATTGCAAGATCGATAGCATATTAAATATTAGAAAACTGTCAATCAAAAAGATTGATATTTATATCAAATAACCAAGTATTATAAAGTATTATTCTCTAATCTATTCTCATAAATAATATTTCACTTGTCGTTCTAAATTCTGTTAATATATTATCATCTGTCTTAAAATATCATTTAGAATATCATATTCTAATATGAATGGCCTGATATTTCATATATAATTAATATTCCTTCACATAATAAGATATCAATATAAATAATGAATATATAATAATTTTTATTTTATAAACTCTTTGCGCATAACCTCGTGTGCACGATAAAACAATAATACGTTTCAGAATTAAATATTCAAGCATCAATCTGTTCTAGCTTATTCATTTTTAAATAATGGATTCATAAAATATTTTATCTATTTACAATATTCTGACATACTTTCAATCTCAATTTTCAATTATTTTAACCTATTTCATAGATTATTACTTGAATATTAAAATAAAAATAATCTTAACTCACCGATACATGATGCGTAGCAGCGGAGTTATTGCTCAACGTTGATAATCTGTAAAATACAAATATATTCTAATTATAATAATGTTCGAAATAATTAATATTCTAGAAATAATTATTGGGTATTGAGTTTTGTATTTTTTTCTTAAGTAAATACTTTTGATAAAAAATTACATCATTAAACAAAATCGAATTTTTATAGAAAATATTTAAATATTAAATATATTGAAAATATTTCTTAATGCATCGTAAAAATAAATAATAGTTTTATACATTTCACAAGTAATATATAATAAGTAAATGATAAAATATTTACCCTTCGGTTGCTCCGCCGGCACCCGATATTTCCTAGGCCTCCTCCTCCTCTCAGTAATGCATGGCTGCTCCTCAGTAGCATAACACTCGCAAAAATTACGATCGCGCAACTCTCTGTACGGCACTACCGACATTAACCGCAATCGCGCCGCGAACTTTGTCAACTGAGGACAAAGAAATAACTCAAATAAAAGCACGATCGCACGGATCTGCTCGACACTCGGTGTCTGAAGCAGGCAACGGTGACGAAAGGAATTCGAAAAATGCGCAGTAAACTGAGCAGACATGTCGTGACTATGCTACGCTGAAACTACTTTCAAAAGTTTTCCGCGCATGATAAATAGTATATCTTTGCTTTTTAAATCGTTTAGTAACAATTAACAGTGATTTTACTATTTTAATATAGATTTCAACATAAATATAATATACAAATTAAATTAAAGGTATATGTATATCCGCGGAATAAAATAACTGAGTCGCGCGAGAACTGATTAATCGAGCAAATTTTGAATCGGCGGTTATCAGTGAGAAATAATCTTGTAATATTTGTCACGATAGTATTCTAAATTAATAACGTAGGATAACTCTTGTAACGTAGACAATTCTTATTGCCATCTGCTCCGTCCGAGTGTCGGCGCGCGAATGGTACTAAGGTTATAGCGTGCGTAGATATAAACACAATACGCGGAGCATTGTAGACTACAAAAAATGACAACAAACCTCGAACGATGTAAATCGGCTTCTAAAGCTCGCTATTTAGAACATTTATGAGATATTTCATTTCAATTTAATTTATGTATTATCGTACCATACGAAAATATGCGTAGAGTTTATAAAATAATTATTATTTTATAAACTCATATATTGATATCTTATTATACAAAAAATATTAATTACTAAATACCAGTCATGTATAAGTTTATATTAAAATATATTGTAACATGTTCGAAAACGTAAATAAAATAGAAAATTTTACTTATGTGCCAAAAATACTATATGTAGGTACACAAATTTTTAGGAGATACAGTTAAAAACATCACAAAGATGCGATGTATCAATAATTTCTTTCCAACAATTTTACATATTATTTATTAAGTTGATTAAATTCTTATTCCTTAATATTAAATTTTTGAATTTACTGCTTAGAATAATAGGAAATGCGCTAAATAACAGTGTCAAGAAATAGATGTAGTTTCAATTTTGTAGTTTGAACTTTAAAATGGATGCAAATTACAATAAAAATTGGTGTGAGCGTTCCACAAAGTATGCCGAGACGGTTACTTTCGAGCGTTTTTCCTTCTTGACACAGTGACGGTCAATTTTTATCTATCTCCGCACGTATTCAATGAGCAGCGCGTTAACTGCACGAACGTTCCCCTTTTTCCTCTCGTAACCCGACAGACTCTACGGTAGGTGATCGACCGAGGTAGCAGAACGAGACGGGCATGAGACACCAGCGGCGCGGTGGATTCGAGAAGTTAATCCGAGGAAAGGCGTTATTTTCGCGAAACGTGATATCGCCACTAGTGGAAACTCGGTGGCGCGGCTCGGCGAATAGTGCTTGGCGGCGTCTAACGAGCTGGCAAGTCGTTTTACTCGCGATCTCGGACACTAAACAGGGTTAGCGCGGTACTATGCTCCAGCGGGATTCTCTCTTTCTCCTATTCTCGCATTCTGCTCTCTCCCCTTCTCTCCCTGATCTGCTGAAACGGCCTGAAAGCCAAGTATCCTTGGCGGCGAAGGGTCGGTTATACTGGCCAACCGAGTAAAGAAAAGAAACCAATAACTGCGGCGAGGTTAGAAGAGGAGTGAAGAAGAATACAGAGCGGGAATGGAGTAACCGATGGAGAGAGAGATAAGGGAGGAAAGAGAAGTCGCGGAGCGCGTCGGAAGAGCATAGGAAGGAAGGAAGGAAGGAAAGGAAGACTGCCAAGGCTCTTTGGTCTTGGGTCTCGGGCGGTAACTCGATTTGTCGCCCGTCTTGAGCCAGATGGATCGGAAGTAGACGCGAACGCCGGCCGCATTTCAAGTAGACTATATCTCGCCCGAGCACACTACATGTATATACATATACGTACACATTATGTACGTGTGTGCGTGTGTGTGTGTGTTTCGCGTATTTTGTCGTGCAGCCGCACACGGCAGTCCTGCGAGGATCTATTCCGCCGGACCAACAACTGACGACGACGACCATTCCTCTCTTATCCACGGCCCTGTCGAGGACCGGGCAAACTCGGTTTTACCGTCGAATGCGGCGGGACTCGCCGAGCGAAATGGGATGAGGATAAGATAGCGGTAGGACGGTAATGTCCTTAAGACTGGCTGGCGCGACGGTTACAGGATCGCGACGGTGACGTGTCGCGTGGATCAGCATAGCCCTCGTCCCGTGTCCTTCCGGGACAGAGAATTCTCGAGTACGTGAGCAGTCGGGAACTCCTTAAAAACGTGTCCGCCGTACGAATGACCGACGCGCGAAGTCCGGTAATCCCGTTACGATTGGACCTCGTTTTAATGCAAAGAATACAGCGTGACTCCGCCAGGAATATAAAAAGGATAATTAACTCGAATATTTTATGCAATACCCCTTGCAACACTCCCCCCCCTCCCCCGACAGAGACTGGTTCTGTTAATTAAACTGTGATCTTTATTCTAGAAGCCCTTGAAACTATTCACCCAAATGACAAAAACTTTCCAATTTTTTAATTTCTGTTAATTATTTATATATATAAATATATATATATATATCTAGCCGTTCAACATAGTTCGTAAATAAATCAGTTGAATCTCAGTTCAGATTAGTAAGAATGACTCCCGTATGAATTGTCTCTCGATACGGTGCTGCTACGTATCCCTTTTCGATTATAACGGGTTAATTCCGATCCCTCTCTCATATCGGATTCGAGACATCGCAATCTCCTGAGCTGTCCGCTAGCGATATCAGTGGCAGATGTTCCAGGCAATCGCACCAAGCGGAGAAGCCGGTTAGAGAGATAGCACCGAGAGATAGCAAACAGATCTGTGTCTTCGCTTGTCAGTCGCCGTGCTAAGCAACACATTGTCGCATGCTGATCAAGATATATCTCGCGCGCCACGCAAATTCGGCGATAAATACGTCGCGATAAATACGTTTCATTACCGGTTTCAAATTAAGCATTATTTGCATTTAAAAAATTTTAATGTGAAAGAATTATTTTTATAAAAAGAAAGAAAGAGAGAGAGAGAGAGAGAGAGAGAGAGAGAGAGAGAGAGAGAGAGAGAGAGAAATAGAGAGAGAGAGAGAGCAATAATTAAAAAATAATATACATATATAAATACAAATATGTAAATTAATAATTTGTTTTAAAAAATAATATTTAATCAAATTAAAACTTTCGTCTATTTTTATTTAAAGAAAATTTAAATTATTTACGCGGGACATTTTATTATTATATCTTTTATCGCAGAGTGAGTTTAAAAAAAATAATTTCTAAATTGTGCTATAAAGATTCTCCGTGCGAAAGCTCGACAGCAAATATGGCGAAATACAAATGCAATATTTACGACGCCACGGGGTGGACTGTGCATCACAAGCGACTGTGCACGCCGTGTGTATCACTACAATCCGATTATCGCTCGCTAATTAATGCCGTCGCATTTCGCGGCGATCGAGTTAGCGCAACCGGCGGCGGTGGAAATCGAGTTTCGCACCGATAGAAAATACGAGATGCGGGAAGAACGCTGGTCCGCACTGCACGGCCGGATGGTAGGTAGCGTCGGATAAGTGGACCGGG